TATTCTATTCTATTCTATTCTATTCTATTCTATTCTATTCTATTCTATTCTATTCTATCCCTCCCCCCCCTCCCCTCCCTTCCCTTTCATTTTGTAAAATAATTTGATATGATTGCTGGCTTTTGGCATATGAGGAGTTGCCTAGATTCTATTTTGTTCTGTTCCATTCCATTCCATTCTTATTATTGCATGCAATGTGCAACATTTGCAGACTCCAGAATATAGAAAGTTCTATTTTTGCCTTTAGCATAGTGATGAATGTAGGTATGTCTTTCTCAACAAGAAACTTTGCAAATGTACTGGATTGTAGTCTCCATAATCCCATAAAATATAAGACTTCATTCATTCATTCATTCAATTTTTTATAGCTGCTTGTCTCAAGTAATGACCTTCGATGACTTACAAATTGAAAACTATACAAACAATTCATAAAAAACCATATAAAAAAAATCCAAAAGAAATTTGAGAGTTGGAATTTCAACACCATCTATCCAAAGTATACCAGAGAAAGAAGGCTCAGATAGAACTCTAGAAGCCATTAAAAGTGGAATAAATCTTAATCCCAGAACATTCTTTAATTTTCTTGATTCCATGTTAAAATAAAACATTCAAAGTTTGGCAGGTCGTTATGCTGGTTTGATCCACAGCAGACAGAATGAAACAAACAAATGGGTGTCCAGTTATTTATGTAGTTAATGCATTTTAGTAACAGCTAGGGAAGAGAAAATAGAACTGTACAGACTGAGTGGCTTCAGAAAAAAAAATTAACAGCAGATAAGGGAATAGAAAAACAAGACAGACTCCTTTGGTAGTAAAAAGAATATAAATGTTTAAATAATTAATGCTGAACAGATAAAGGCTGCATTTTTTCCTACCAACTTTCATTCAATTGAATGCATGAGAATTATGATAGTCAGATAAATTCTGATGGAATAAGAAAGAAAGGAAAGTGACCTTGAGAGATGTATAGACCCCAATTGCCAAGGAAACAAAGGCTAAAACATTACAGCAACAGAAGTCCAGAATGTCCAGATAATGATCAGAAGTGACTCAGATAGATATCTCCCTAACTGCACATATTTAAATGCCTTTGAATCATGAATTTCTCTGTAGTAGTTAAGGCACCGGTTTAGAAAAAGAGAGGGTGTTAGTTCTAGTCCTATCTTAGCCATAAAGCTGACTGGGTGACTTTGGGCCAATCACCAGGAGACTGGGAGTTCTAGTCCTAAACAAAATAAATAAATGCAATACTACTGGATAAATAAATGAACTAATGCATACATTTATTCCTTGCTATTTGTCATTTTTAAGACTATCTTTTTATTTCCCCTACAATAATGTTGTGTTTTTTGTCTAGTGATTATAGAAATACTCTAAAAAATGGTGTCATTTATACATATAGGTTTATTCTTCCTGTCCCGTTCCTTCCCTTCCTTTTCCTTCTTTGTTTCCTTTTGTTTCTTTTTCCTTTCCTTTCCTTTCCTTTCCTTTCCTTTCCTTTCCTTCCCTTCCCTTCCCTAGTTTTCCCTTCCATTCCCTTTGCCCCTTTCCTTCCCCTTTCCCCCTCACCTCCCCTTTTAAAATCCATTCTAAAATTCAAATAAGGTCTCTCTAAATTACATTTCTGACTAATGGTCCTTGCCACCCTGAATACTATGGTATAAAATTGTTTTATTTTTCTCTTTAAGTAAAGTATTTCAGAGATGATGCTACTAAAATCAGCCTCTTTTGTGATTCTATGCTCTGTAATTCACTAGCACTTTATGGCTATCTGGAATCTAAGCCTGGAATAGGCAAAAAAAGCTTATCTCTCATATGTAGCTAAGAAAATCTTAAAATGCACAATATTATGCATTCTGTTCTTAGAAAGGGATGTTTATGGAATATTGCAAACATTTGGCATTTCTATAGCGCTGCCAGACCATTTCATGTTATCTCAATAGCTCCTTATTATTTTATTTATAATGCCCCTAAGACCATTTTCTAGACCGAAAATGTAGTTTAAATAGTCTATACCAGGTACTGGAAAAAAACCAGTTTCTTATATTCCTTAATAGCAATAAAAGAAACTGTGGATAAAGTTTCAATCTACATTTGAGTGTTATGGTAGCCACAAATGGGGTCAAAAAAGTCAAGATGGCAGCT